AGGAGAGCAATAATTACGACATACTCACCGACATATCGTGGTCACGGGATGTGATTCTTTCATGGGGTAGGCAATCCCGCCTCGCTTGTCCAGGATGTGATCCTTTGGGGATGCTTCCCGTCCCGCGCATCGTTGTGTGTGTGGCTCCAAGCGGCAACGCCAGGGAAGTGCCAAGTGACAATAGTGAAATGATCAGGATAAGAAACTATTATAAGCGATTTGCTATTAATAATAATTATATTTGGCGACTTTTAAGAAATATGCACCAGACCGTGTGTACACGACGTTTGGAGCCGAATCGTATTTGTCGTGGGAGTGTCATCGGCGTGCTCGGGAGGTCCCCAATGACGTCCCCGGGAACCCGGACGACATCGGCACTTCCAGATTTGGACTCAGCGTGCGAGAAAATCCCCGAACACGATATTTCTGTCGTCCTGGTCGTTCCGAGGTTGACGGTCGGTCGGTCGGTCGGTCGGTCGGTCGGTCGGTCGGTCGGCCAAACCGTATCTTATTTTGACAGCCCCTAGCGGCCGCCCGGCCTCTAGCTCAAGTCGCATGTCCCGCCGTGGACTCTCCCAGCAGGTTATCTCGCTGGCGTTCGGCTGTCCGCGGTCGGACACCCACGGGGAGGGTATGTAGCGACGCATTGCACCTTGCCGCATACTGTGGTACCACCCTCATCGGTGTGCGACGCCGGGGGAGGGCGTAAAGTGGTTCCCCGGGTAGCCAGACGGGGTTTCCGCCCGTACGAAGCTGTGACTCCTGGGCGCCCTTCTGTCCTGGTGAAACTGGCTCCGAAAACAGCGTCCCATGACCTCAGCGGTAGGGGGTCAGTTCGGTTTAACCAGCCGTGCGATAGTCTCCGCAAAACAAATTGGGTACCCGTCGTTCCTGTTTAAGCGGGTAGGCGACAACCCTGGTCAACAGTTGGTCGGATCTAACAGTCTGGCTGCTGGCGTGGACACACCGGATCCCATTCGAACTCCGAAGTTAAGCACGCGGGGCCCCGTGTAAAAGCGGGGTGGGTACTCCCTCTTTTTCACATTCTTTGAAAAATAATTTGGTCCTAAACGGCGCCTCTATAGTCTGTTCGGAATTCGCTGGATGGTGCGCACCTCCACCGCTCCCCCCTCGCCCTCCGCGCCTGCACGCTTTTTATTTTTACGGACACCTGGTACTTTTCCTCTCCCTCTCTCGCCTGGAAACAAACCCCCTATATGCTGCTATAGTGCTTTGAAAAGTACGAGCTTAGGCTGGTCCCACTACAACATGTAACATGCAACATGCACTGTAAAAAAAAATGTTGTATGGAAACGACAAATTTCTTGTTAATTTTTTTGATGACCAGCATTGTAGGTAAACAGGCATGCCATCAATACTTTATCGTTTCAAAACAAACAACTCATTTGGGTACGACAAAATAACTATACAACCCAGTCATCAAACAAAATGTCGTAATTGAACAGGGAAGTTGTACAGGAACAACATAAACTATTTTCAAAACAAACAGCTCGTTTGGATACGGAAAAAATATTAAGACCTAGTCATCAAACAAAATGTCGTTACAGAACGAGAAAGTTGTATGGGAACAACATAAGTTGTTTTCAAACAACTATTCTTGTTTTCAAACGGCACCACCATAATTTTTAGTTGAAGTGAGATTCTAGTTCACCATCATATT